GTCCTTGTAGCTTATAAAAAGCATGACACTGAAGACGTCAAGATGGCTGCCACACAACACCCAAGGACAAAAGACTTAGTCCTAACCTTACTGTTAGTTTTTGCTAGGTATATACATGCAAGTATCTGCGTGCCAGTGTAGACGCCCTGGACACCCTAACACAGGTAGATAGGAGCGGGTATCAGGCTCACCATCACCGTAGCCCAAAACGCCTCGCAATTGCCACACCCCCACGGGTACTCAGCAGTAGTTAACATTAAGCAATGAGTGTAAACTTGACTTAGCCATAGCAAATTTAGGGTCGGTAAATCCTGTGCCAGCCACCGCGGTCAGACAGGAGACCCAAATTAACTTTATAACGGCGTAAAGCGTGGTCACATGCTATCCAAGTAACTAAGATTAAAAAGCAACTGAGCTGTCAAAAGCCCAAGATGCCAATAAGGCCTCCTTATAAAGAAGATCTTAGGACAACGACTAATTGAAACCCACGAAAGCCAGGGCCCAAACTGGGATTAGATACCCCACTATGCCTGGCCCTAAATCTTGATGCTTAACCCTACCAAAGCATCCGCCCGAGAACTACGAGCACTAACGCTTAAAACTCTAAGGACTTGGCGGTGTCCCAAACCCACCTAGAGGAGCCTGTTCTGTAATCGATGATCCACGATATACCTGACCATTCCTTGCCAAAACAGCCTACATACCGCCGTCGCCAGCCCACCTCCCCTGAAAGCCCAACAGTGAGCGCAACAGCCCCACCACGCTAATAAGACAGGTCAAGGTATAGCCCATGGAATGGAAGCAATGGGCTACATTTTCTAAATTAGAACATAACGGCAAAGAGACATGAAACGGTCTCTAGAAGGCGGATTTAGCAGTAAAGTGGGACAATCGAGCCCTCTTTAAGCCGGCTCTGGGGCACGTACATACCGCCCGTCACCCTCCTCGCAGGCGCCCCCCCCCCCCCCATAAATTAATAAGCCACTCAGCCAAAGATGAGGTAAGTCGTAACAAGGTAAGTGTACCGGAAGGTGCACTTAGAACACCAAGACGTAGCTTAAACAAAAGCATTCAGCTTACACCTGAAAGATACTTGCCAACCACAAGTCGTCTTGATGCCAAACTCTAGCCCAATCGACATGACCTGGAATAACAAAGCTACTTCCCCCACACTCAACTAAAGCATTTACTAGTCCCAGTATAGGCGATAGAAAAGACACCATTGGAGCTATAGAGACCACGTACCGTAAGGGAAAGATGAAATAGCAGTGAAAAAGACAAGCTATAAACAGCAAAGATCAACCCTTGTACCTTTTGCATCATGGTCTAGCAAGAAAAACCAAGCAAAATGAATTTAAGTTTGCCACCCCGAAACCCAAGCGAGCTACTTACGAGCAGCTATTATTGAGCGAACCCGTCTCTGTAGCAAAAGAGTGGGATGACTTGTTAGTAGAGGTGAAAAGCCAACCGAGCTGGGTGATAGCTGGTTGCCTGTGAAACGAATCTAAGTTCACTCTTAATTCTTCTCCAAGGAAAACTAACAAACCCTAATGAAGCGAATTAAGGGCAATTTAAAGGAGGGACAGCTCCTTTAAAAAAGAATACAATCTCCACGAGCGGATAAGCATCATAAACCCAAACCTTACTGTGGGCCCTCAAGCAGCCATCAACAAAGAGTGCGTTAAAGCTCAGTACCCTAAAAATATAAAAACCTTGCGACTCCCTCATCATTAACAGGCCAACCTATATTCAAATAGGAGAATTAATGCTAGAATGAGTAACCAGGGTCCTCCCTCTACGACGCAAGCTTACATCCATACATTATTAACAAACCACCAATATACGACTAATCAAACAAGCAGAGTATTACGTATCTTGTTAACCCGACAGAGGAGCGTCTATTAAGAAAGATTAAAACCTGTAAAAGGAACTAGGCAAACCGTCAAGGCCCGACTGTTTACCAAAAACATAGCCTTCAGCAAACCAAAAACAAGTATTGAAGGTGATGCCTGCCCGGTGACTCACGTTCAACGGCCGCGGTATCCTAACCGTGCAAAGGTAGCGCAATCAATTGTCCCATAAATCGAGACTAGTATGAATGGCTAAACGAGGTCTTAACTGTCTCTTACAGGCAATCGGTGAAATTGATCCCCCTGTACAAAAGCAGGGATAACCACATAAGACGAGAAGACCCTGTGGAACTTTAAAATCAGCAACCACCTTACAATACATACTAACCCACCGGGTCCACTATCACATAAGCTACTGGTTCGCGTTTTTCGGTTGGGGCGACCTTGGAGAAAAACAAATCCTCCAAAAATTAGACCACACCTCTAAACTGAGAGCAACCCCTCAACGTGCTAATAGCACCCAGACCCAATATAATTGACCAATGGACCAAGCTACCCCAGGGATAACAGCGCAATCTCCTCCGAGAGTCCGTATCGACGAGGAGGTTTACGACCTCGATGTTGGATCAGGACATCCTAGTGGTGCAGCCGCTACTAAGGGTTCGTTTGTTCAACGATTAACAGTCCTACGTGATCTGAGTTCAGACCGGAGTAATCCAGGTCGGTTTCTATCTATGATGAACTCTTCCCAGTACGAAAGGATAGGAAAAGTAAGGCCAATACTCCAAGCAAGCCTTCGCCTTAAGTGATGAAACCAACTAAATCACAAAAAGCTATCACACCACACCACGTCCAAGAAAAGGATTAGCTAGCGTGGCAGAGCTCGGAAAATGCAAAAGGCTTAAGTCCTTTAACTCAGAGGTTCAAATCCTCTCCCTAGCTTAACCCAAACCAACATAATAACATGACAAACTATCCCCTCCTAATTAATTTCATCATAGCCCTCTCCTACGCCCTACCCATCCTAATCGCAGTAGCCTTTCTCACACTGGTAGAACGCAAAATCCTAAGCTACATACAAGGCCGAAAGGGCCCAAATGTCGTAGGCCCATTCGGACTCCTGCAACCCCTAGCCGATGGGGTAAAACTATTCATCAAAGAGCCCATCCGACCTTCAACCTCCTCCCCAATCATGTTTCTCATAACCCCAATGCTGGCCCTCCTACTAGCAATCTCCGTTTGAACCCCACTCCCCCTTCCATTCTCCCTAGCAGACCTAAACTTAGGCCTACTATTCCTGCTAGCCATATCAAGCCTAGCAGTATACTCAATCCTGTGATCAGGGTGAGCTTCCAACTCAAAATATGCCCTGATCGGAGCACTACGGGCTGTAGCCCAAACAATCTCCTACGAAGTAACCTTAGCAATCATCCTACTATCTGTGATCCTTTTAAGCGGAAACTACACCCTTGGTACCCTCGCAGTTACCCAAGAACCCCTCTACCTAATCTTCTCCTGCTGACCTCTAGCCATAATATGATATGTGTCTACACTCGCCGAAACTAACCGCGCCCCATTCGACCTAACAGAAGGCGAATCAGAACTAGTCTCCGGGTTCAACGTAGAATATGCAGCAGGCCCCTTCGCCCTTTTCTTCTTAGCTGAATACGCCAACATCATACTCATAAATACACTAACCGCCATCCTGTTCTTTAATCCCAGCTTCCTAAATCCACCCCAAGAGCTATTCCCCATTGTATTGGCTACAAAAGCACTGCTTCTATCAGCAGGGTTCCTATGAGTCCGTGCCTCCTACCCCCGATTCCGATACGACCAGCTAATACACCTACTATGAAAAAACTTCCTACCACTCACACTAGCCCTATGCCTCTGACACACCAGCATACCGATCTGCTACGCGGGCCTACCGCCTTATCTAAGGGTCCTGGAAATGTGCCTGAACACTAAGGGTCACTATGATAAAGTGAACATAGAGGTATACCAGCCCTCTCATTTCCTTAGCCCTTAGAAAAGCAGGAATCGAACCTGCACTAGAGGAATCAAAATCCTCCATACTTCCTTTATATTACTTTCTAGTAGGGTCAGCTAAACAAGCTATCGGGCCCATACCCCGAAAATGATGGTTCAACTCCTTCCCCTACTAATAAACCCCCAAGCAAAACTAGTATTTATCTTTAGCTTATTCCTGGGAACAACCATCACAATATCAAGCAACCACTGAATCATGGCCTGAACAGGTCTTGAAATCAACACACTTGCCATCCTACCTCTAATCTCAAAATCTCACCACCCTCGAGCCATTGAGGCTGCCACTAAATATTTCCTAGTACAAGCAGCCGCCTCCACCCTAGTCCTATTTTCCAGTATGACTAATGCATGACACACGGGACAATGAGACATCACCCAGCTCACACACCCAATCTCATGCTTAATCCTAACTTCAGCAATTGCAATAAAACTAGGACTAGTACCATTCCACTTCTGATTCCCGGAAGTACTTCAAGGCTCCCCCCTTACCACAGGACTCCTGCTGTCCACTGCCATAAAACTTCCACCAATTACACTACTCTACATAACCTCACCCTCCTTAAACACCACCCTCCTAACCACCATGGCTATCCTTTCGGCAGCTCTAGGAGGATGAATGGGCCTTAACCAGACACAAATCCGAAAAATTCTAGCCTTCTCCTCCATCTCCCACCTAGGCTGAATAGCAATCATCATCGTCTACAACCCAAAACTCACCCTACTCAACTTCTACCTATACACCCTAATAACTGCAACAGTGTTCCTCGCCCTAAATTCAATCAAAGTCTTAAAACTATCCACCCTGATAACGGCATGGACCAAAGTACCCTCATTAAACGCAATACTCCTCCTAACTCTGCTCTCACTTGCAGGACTTCCCCCACTAACAGGATTCCTACCTAAATGACTCATTATTCAAGAGCTAACTAAACAAGACATAGCCCCGACAGCAACAATCCTTTCCCTTCTCTCCTTACTAGGACTGTTCTTCTATTTACGCCTAGCATACTGTACAACAATTACACTTCCCCCACACACCACAAACCATATAAAACTATGACATACTAGCAAACCAACTAATATCCTAATCGCTATCCTAGCTACTATGTCCATCATTCTTCTCCCCATCTCCCCCATGATCCTCACCATCATCTAAGAAACTTAGGATTACCTAAACCGAAGGCCTTCAAAGCCTTAAACAAGAGTGAAACTCTCTTAGTTTCTGCTAAAGTCCGCAGGATATTACCCTGCATCCCCTGAATGCAACTCAGATACTTTAATTAAGCTAGGACCTTATTATGTCTCCCTAGACAGATGGGCTTCGATCCCATAATATTATAGTTAACAGCTATATGCCCAAACCAACAGGCTTCTGCCTAAGGCCCCGGTACACAATTAATGCACATCAATGAGCTTGCAACTCACTATGAACTTCACTACAGAGCCGATAAGAAGAGGAATTAAACCTCTGTAAAAAGGACTACAGCCTAACGCTTACACACTCAGCCATCTTACCTATGACATTCATTACCCGATGACTATTTTCAACTAACCACAAAGATATCGGAACTCTATACCTAATCTTCGGCGCATGAGCTGGGATAGTAGGTACCGCCCTAAGTCTCCTCATTCGAGCAGAACTAGGACAACCCGGAGCCCTCCTAGGAGACGACCAAGTATACAACGTAGTCGTCACAGCCCACGCCTTCGTAATAATCTTCTTCATAGTTATACCAATTATAATTGGAGGATTTGGAAACTGACTAGTTCCCTTAATAATCGGAGCACCAGACATAGCATTCCCACGAATAAACAATATAAGCTTCTGACTACTACCTCCATCCTTTCTCCTCTTACTAGCATCCTCCACAGTAGAAGCAGGAGTAGGTACAGGTTGAACAGTATACCCACCACTAGCTGGTAACCTGGCCCACGCCGGAGCCTCAGTAGACCTAGCAATCTTCTCCCTGCACCTAGCCGGCATCTCATCCATCCTGGGTGCAATCAACTTTATCACAACAGCAATCAACATAAAACCCCCTGCCCTCTCACAATACCAAACACCTCTATTCGTCTGATCTGTACTAATTACCGCAGTACTCCTGCTCCTGTCACTACCAGTTCTAGCCGCAGGCATTACAATACTTCTTACAGATCGTAACCTCAATACTACATTTTTCGACCCTGCAGGTGGAGGAGACCCAGTCCTATACCAACATCTATTCTGATTCTTCGGACACCCAGAAGTATACATCCTGATCCTGCCAGGATTTGGGATCATCTCGCACGTCGTAACCTACTACGCAGGAAAAAAAGAACCATTTGGATACATAGGAATAGTATGAGCGATACTATCTATCGGTTTCTTAGGGTTTATTGTCTGAGCCCACCACATGTTCACAGTAGGAATGGACGTTGATACCCGAGCATACTTCACATCCGCTACAATAATCATTGCCATTCCAACAGGCATTAAAGTATTTAGTTGATTAGCCACCCTACACGGAGGAACAATCAAATGAGACCCACCAATACTATGAGCCCTAGGATTCATCTTCCTATTCACCATCGGAGGACTGACAGGGATCGTTCTAGCAAACTCCTCACTAGACATCGCCCTGCACGATACTTACTACGTAGTAGCCCACTTCCACTATGTCCTATCAATAGGAGCAGTATTCGCAATCCTGGCCGGCTTCACACACTGATTCCCCCTATTCACTGGGTACACCCTGCACTCAACATGAGCCAAAACACACTTTGGAGTAATGTTCGTAGGCGTAAACCTAACCTTCTTCCCCCAACATTTCCTAGGCCTAGCCGGAATACCACGACGATACTCAGACTACCCTGATGCCTACACATTATGAAACACTATCTCCTCAGTAGGATCCCTCATTTCCCTAACAGCCGTAATCATGCTAGTATTTATCATCTGAGAAGCCTTTGCATCCAAACGCAAAGCCACACAACCAGAACTAACAAGCACCAATGTTGAATGAATCCACGGCTGCCCACCCCCATTCCACACCTTTGAAGAACCAGCCTTCGTCCAAGTCCAAGAAAGGAAGGAGTCGAACCCCCATATGTTGGTTTCAAGCCAACCGCATAGACCACTTATGCTTCTTTCTCATTAGAGGTGTTAGTAAAACAATTACATAGCCTTGTCAAGACTAAATCGCAGGTGAAAACCCAGCACACCTCCATCTAAATGGCCAACCACTCACAACTTAACTTCCAAGACGCCGCTTCACCTATTATAGAAGAACTAATAGGATTCCACGACCACGCTCTGATAGTTGCCCTAGCAATTTGCAGCCTAGTCCTTTACCTGCTTACCCTCATACTTACAGAAAAGCTATCATCAAGTACAGTCAACGCACAAGAAATTGAGCTAGTTTGAACAATCCTACCAGCCATAGTGCTGGTCATGCTCGCCCTACCCTCCCTACGAATCCTGTACATAATAGACGAAATCAATGAACCTGACCTAACCCTCAAAGCCATCGGTCACCAATGATACTGATCATACGAATACACTGACCTCAAGGACTTCACATTTGATTCCTACATAATCCCCACAACAGACCTACCCCTAGGGCACTTCCGCCTACTAGAAGTAGACCACCGTGTTATTGTCCCTATAAGTTCCACAATTCGAGTAATCGTCACTGCAGACGACGTACTTCACTCATGAGCCGTCCCCAGCCTAGGCGTAAAAACCGACGCAATCCCAGGGCGCCTCAACCAAACCTCTTTCCTTGCCTCCCGACCTGGAGTATTCTACGGACAATGCTCAGAAATCTGCGGAGCCAACCACAGCTTCATACCAATCGTAGTAGAATCTACTCCCCTCGCTAACTTCGAAAACTGATCTTCTCTAATATCATCCTAATCATTAAGAAGCTATGAACCAGCATTAGCCTTTTAAGCTAAAGAAAGAGGGTTTCCCCCCTCCTTAATGACATGCCCCAACTAAATCCTAACCCCTGATTCTTTATTATAATCATTTCATGACTAACCTTCTCCATAATCATTCAACCCAAACTTCTATCATTTGTTTCAACAAACCCCCCATCTCATAAGTCCACTGTAGCCCCAAGCACCACCCCCTGAACCTGACCATGAACCTAAGCTTCTTCGATCAATTCTCGAGTCCATCACTTCTAGGAATCCCACTGATTCTCATCTCAATAACATTCCCAGCCCTACTTCTTCCCTCCCTAGACAACCGATGAATTACCAATCGCCTCTCAACACTCCAACTTTGATTCATCAACCTAGTCACAAAACAACTAATAATACCCCTAAACAAAAAAGGACACAAGTGAGCCCTAATCCTAACGTCCCTTATAATCTTCCTCCTATTAATCAATCTACTAGGTCTATTACCATACACATTCACCCCAACCACCCAACTATCCATAAATCTAGCCCTAGCATTCCCCCTATGACTTGCCACTCTACTAACAGGCCTACGAAACCAACCATCCGCTTCCCTAGGCCACCTCCTCCCAGAAGGCACCCCAACCCCACTAATCCCAGCCCTAATTTTAATCGAAACAACAAGTCTACTTATTCGCCCACTAGCCCTAGGAGTACGGCTAACAGCCAACTTAACAGCAGGCCACCTACTCATTCAACTCATCTCCACAGCCACAACAGCCCTATTCTCAACGATACCAGTAGTTTCCCTACTAACTTTACTAGTCCTGTTCCTACTAACAATCCTGGAAGTAGCAGTAGCAATAATTCAAGCCTACGTCTTCGTGCTTCTATTAAGCCTTTACCTTCAAGAAAACATCTAACACCACAATGGCTCACCAAGCACACTCTTACCACATAGTAGACCCAAGCCCATGACCCATTTTCGGAGCAGCCGCCGCCCTACTAACCACCTCAGGGCTGACAATATGATTTCACTACAACTCCCCTCGACTCCTCATCCTCGGCCTTGTCACCACCGCCTTAGTCATGTTCCAATGATGACGTGACATCGTACGAGAAAGCACCTTCCAAGGCCACCACACCCCAACCGTTCAAAAAGGGCTACGATACGGAATAGCCCTATTCATCACGTCAGAAGCCTTTTTCTTCCTAGGCTTCTTCTGGGCCTTCTTCCACTCAAGCCTGGCTCCTACTCCAGAACTAGGCGGACAATGACCCCCAGTTGGAATCAAACCCCTAAACCCTATAGAAGTACCACTTCTGAATACTGCCATCCTCCTGGCTTCCGGAGTCACCGTAACATGAGCCCACCACAGCATCACAGAGGCCAAACGAAAACAAGCAATTCAAGCCCTATCCCTAACAGTCCTACTAGGATTCTACTTCACCGCCCTCCAAGCCATAGAATACTACGAAGCTCCTTTCTCCATCGCCGATGGGGTTTATGGTTCCACCTTCTTCGTTGCCACTGGGTTCCATGGCCTACACGTAATTATTGGCTCTACATTCCTCTTTGTATGCCTCCTACGCCTAATCAAATACCACTTCACACCCACCCACCACTTCGGATTTGAGGCAGCAGCCTGATACTGACACTTCGTAGACGTCGTATGATTATTCCTCTACATCTCTATCTACTGATGAGGATCCTACTCTTCTAGTATATTAATTACAATCGACTTCCAATCCTTAAAATCTGGTTTAAATCCAGAGAAGAGTAATAAACATAATCCTATTCATACTAACCCTTTCATTCACCCTAAGCATACTCCTTACCGCACTAAACTTTTGACTAGCCCAAATAAACCCCGACTCAGAAAAACTATCCCCATACGAATGCGGATTCGACCCTCTAGGATCGGCTCGACTACCCTTCTCCATTCGCTTCTTTCTTGTCGCCATTCTGTTCCTCCTATTCGACCTAGAAATCGCCCTATTACTACCCCTGCCATGAGCCACCCAACTACAATCCCCCATCATCACCCTAGCCTGAACCTCCCTACTCATTCTTCTTCTTACACTGGGACTAATCTATGAATGAATCCAAGGAGGACTAGAATGAGCAGAATAACAGAAAGTTAGTCTAACCAAGACAGTTGATTTCGACTCAACAGATTATAGCTCAAACCCTATAACTTTCTTTATGTCCTACCTTCACCTAAGCTTCTATTCAGCCTTCACACTAAGCAGCCTGGGCCTAGCCTTCCACCGAACCCACCTGATCTCAGCCCTACTATGCCTAGAAAGCATAATATTGTCCATATACATTGCCCTAGCTATATGACCCATTCAAATGCAAGCACCATCATCCACTATTCTCCCCATTATCATATTAACCTTCTCTGCCTGCGAAGCAGGCGCGGGGCTGGCTCTATTAGTAGCCTCTACCCGAACCCACGGCTCCGACCTACTACACAACTTCAATCTCCTACGATGCTAAAAATCATTATCCCAACCGCTATACTACTACCTCTCACCTTCCTCTCCCCACGTAAATATCTCTGAACCAACACCACCCTATACAGCCTATTAATTGCCTTCATCAGCCTCCAATGACTTACGCCTACGTACTACCCAAGCAAAAGCCTGACCCCCTGAACTTCTATCGACCAAATCTCCTCCCCCTTATTAGTCCTCTCCTGCTGACTCCTCCCCCTTATAATCATAGCAAGCCAAAACCACCTAGAACCAGAACCTACTATCCGCAAACGAATCTTCGCTACAACGATCATTCTAGCCCAACTATCCATCCTGTTAGCCTTCTCGGCCTCAGAACTGATACTCTTCTACATTGCATTCGAAGCCACCCTAATCCCAACCCTCATCCTCATCACCCGATGAGGCAGCCAACCAGAACGCTTAAATGCTGGCATCTATCTCCTATTTTACACCCTTGCCAGCTCACTACCTCTGCTAATCGCCATCTTACACCTACAAAACCATATAGGCACACTATACTTCCCAATACTTAAACTCTCACACCCCCCACTAAACACCTCTTGATCAGGACTGATTGCAAGCCTAGCCTTACTCCTAGCTTTCATGGTCAAAGCCCCACTATACGGCTTACACCTATGACTACCTAAAGCCCACGTAGAAGCCCCTATTGCTGGTTCCATACTTCTAGCTGCCCTACTGCTTAAACTCGGAGGGTACGGAATCATACGAGTCACTATCCTAGTAAACCCAACATTAAACAACCTTCACTACCCCTTTATTACCCTCGCCCTATGAGGTGCATTAATAACTAGCGCCATCTGCCTACGACAAATTGACCTAAAATCACTAATTGCCTACTCATCCGTCAGCCACATAGGCCTAGTAGTAGCCGCAACCATAATCCAAACCCAATGAGCATTCTCAGGAGCAATAATCTTGATAATCTCACACGGCCTCACATCATCAATATTATTCTGTCTGGCCAATACCAACTATGAACGCACTCACAGCCGAATTCTATTACTAACACGAGGACTTCAGCCTATACTACCCCTAATAGCTATCTGATGACTTCTAGCTAACCTCACAAACATAGCCCTTCCCCCAACAACAAACCTCATAGCAGAACTAACCATTGTAGTCGCACTTTTCAACTGATCTGCCTTCACAATCATCCTGACAGGAACCGCAATCCTGCTTACCGCCTCATACACGCTATACATACTCATAATAACACAACGAGGCCCACTCCCATCCCACATTACATCAATCCAAAACTCCTCCACACGAGAACACCTCCTCATAGCCTGCCACATAATCCCAATGTTCCTGCTCATCCTCAAACCCGAACTAATCTCAGGCATCCCTATATGCAAGTATAGTTTCAACCAAAACATTAGACTGTGATTCTAAAAACAGAAGTTAAAACCTTCTTACTCGCCGAGGGGAGGTTGAACCAACGAGAACTGCTAACTCTTGTATCTGAGCATAAAACCTCAGTCCCCTTACTTTCAAAGGATAATAGTAATCCAATGGTCTTAGGAGCCACTTATCTTGGTGCAAATCCAAGTGAAAGTAATGGATATACCCCTAATCCTGAACACATTCATACTTCTAACCCTAGCAACCCTCGTCACTCCTATTGTATTCCCACTCCTATCCGACAACCTCAAAAACACTCCTACAATTATCACAAATACGGTTAAAACCGCCTTCCTAATCAGCCTAGTACCAATAACAATTCACATCTATTCAGGAACAGAAAGCCTGACCTCCTTCTGAGAATGAAAATTCATCATAAACTTCAAAATCCCAATCAGCCTAAAAATAGACTTCTACTCACTCACCTTCTTCCCCATCGCACTGTTCGTGTCATGATCTATCCTACAATTTGCAACCTGATATATAGCCTCAGACCCGTTCATCACAAAATTCTTCACCTACCTCCTATTCTTCCTAATCGCCATACTAATCCTAATCATCGCCAACAACCTATTCGTCCTGTTCATTGGTTGAGAAGGGGTAGGGATTATGTCGTTTCTACTCATCAGCTGATGACACGGACGAGCAGAAGCTAATACTGCAGCCCTTCAGGCCGTACTCTACAACCGAGTCGGAGACGTAGGCCTAATCCTATGTATAGCATGACTAGCATCTGCCATAAACACCTGAGAAATTCACCAACTCCCAACCACATCCCAAACACCAACCCTACCCCTCCTAGGCCTCATTCTAGCCGCAACAGGCAAATCCGCCCAATTTGGTCTACACCCATGACTACCAGCCGCTATAGAAGGACCAACCCCCGTATCCGCCCTACTACACTCCAGCACAATAGTCGTAGCCGGAATCTTCCTACTCATTCGAACCAACCCTCTATTTAACAACAATCAAACCGCCTTAACCCTATGCCTATGCCTGGGAGCCTTAACCACACTATTTGCAGCTACGTGCGCTCTCACCCAAAACGACATTAAAAAAATCATCGCATTCTCTACTTCAAGCCAACTAGGACTAATAATAGTTACAATCGGACTAAACCTCCCTGAACTAGCCTTCCTTCACATTTCAACCCATGCATTCTTCAAAGCCATACTTTTCCTATGCTCAGGCTCTATCATCCACAGCCTAAATGGTGAACAGGACATTCGAAAAATAGGCGGACTCCAAAAGATACTACCTACAACCACCTCATGCCTTACCATCGGCAACTTAGCCCTAATAGGAACACCATTCCTAGCAGGATTCTACTCAAAAGACCAAATCATTGAAAGCCTGAACACATCCTACCTAAATACCTGAGCCCTCCTAATAACTCTCCTAGCCACATCATTCACCGCAGTATACACAATTCGCATGACCGTACTAGTACAGAGCGGCTTCGTTCGAATTCCGCCCTTAGCCCCAATCAATGAAAACAACCCAGCAATTACTTCCCCCATCACCCGCCTAGCACTTGGTAGCATCACTGCAGGATTCCTCATTACCTCATACATCATTCCCACAAAAACCCCACCAATAACTATACCTCTGTCCGTTAAAATAACAGCCCTCGCAGTGACAGTACTAGGAATCGCCCTAGCCTTAGAAATCTCAAAAACGACTCAAATACATATTCTAACAAAACAAGCCCCCCTCTCAAACTTCTCCATCTCCCTAGGATATTTCAACCCCCTAACACACCGCTTCACCTCAACCAACCTCCTAAACGGAGGACAAAAAATTGCCTCCCACCTAATAGACCTATCCTGATATAAAATGCTAGGCCCAGAAGGACTAGCCAACCTGCAACTAGCAGCATCCAAAGCTTTAACCACCCTCCACTCTGGCCTAATCAAGGCCTACCTAGGATCATTCGCCCTATCCATCCTCATCATCCTCATGTCTTCATACAGAACCACCTAATGGCCCCCAATCTTCGTAAAAACCACCAAATCCTAAAAATCATCAATGACGCCCTAATTGATCTCCCCACACCATCCAACATTTCAACATGATGGAACTTCGGATCACTATTAGGTATCTGCTTAATTTCCCAAATTGTCACAGGTCTGCTACTAGCCACACACTATACAGCAGACACCAACCTAGCATTCTCCTCCGTCGCCCATATATGCCGAGACGTCCAATTTGGCTGACTAATCCGTAACCTCCATGCAAACGGAGCCTCACTCTTCTTCATCTGCATCTACCTACACATCGGCCGAGGACTCTACTACGGCTCATACCTAAACAAAGAAACCTGAAACATCGGAGTAGTTCTACTTCTAACCCTTATGGCAACCGCCTTCGTAGGATACGTCCTGCCATGAGGCCAAATATCCTTCTGAGGAGCTACAGTCATCACAAACCTATTCTCAGCAATCCCCTACATCGGACAAACATTAGTCGAATGAGCCTGAGGCGGATTCTCAGTAGATAACCCCACATTAACCCGATTCTTTGCCCTCCACTTCTTACTCCCATTCGTCATCGTAGGCCTCACACTAGTTCACCTCACATTCCTACACGAAACAGGATCGAACAACCCACTAGGAATTCCCTCAGACTGCGACAAAATTCCTTTCCACCCATACTACACTGTAAAAGACATCCTAGGATTCGCACTAATACTTATTCTATTAGTCTCCCTAGCCCTATTCTCCCCTAACCTCCTAGGAGACCCAGAAAATTTCACGCCAGCCAACCCCTTAGTAACACCTCCCCACATCAAACCCGAATGATATTTCTTATTCGCCTACGCCATCCTACGATCCATTCCAAACAAACTAGGAGGGGTATTGGCCCTAGCCGCCTCAATCCTTGTACTATTCCTAACTCCGCTCCTCCACACATCAAAGCTACGATCCATAACCTTCCGTCCCCTCTCCCAAATCCTGTTCTGGACCCTAGTTGCCAACGTACTAGTCCTCACCTGAGTAGGCAGCCAACCAGTAGAACACCCATTCATTATCATCGGCCAACTAGCTTCACTCTCATACTTCACAATTATCCTAGTACTATTCCCCCTTGTAGCCATCCTAGAAAACAAGTTACTCAAACTCTAATTAACCCTTAATTAACTCTAATAGTTTATAAAAACATTGGTCTTGTAAGCCAAAGATTGAAGATTACGCCCCTTCTTAGAGTTCAACCCCACTACCTCAGGAAAAAAGGACTTAAACCTTTATCACCAACTCCCAAAGCTGGCATTTTCAACTAAACTATTTCCTGAATCCTCCCCTCCTCCCTACACAGCCCGAATAGCCCCCCGAGACAACCCTCGCACAAGCTCTAACACCACAAACAAAGTCAACAATAACCCCCACCCCCCAATTAAAAGCAACCCAACCCCTTCCGAATAAAGCAAAGCCGCTCCACTAAAATCAGACCGAACCGATAATAAACCCCCATTATTCACTGTCCCCACATCCACCAACAACTCCACCACACCTCCCACAACAAGCCCCACCATAATAACCAAGCCCATCCCAAAACCATAACCAACAACCCCCAAACTACCCCAAGCCTCGGGATAAGGATCCGCCGCTAACGATACTGAATAAACAAACACTACCAACATCCCCCCTAAATACACCATAACAAGCACCAAAGACACAAAGGAAACCCCCAAACTCACCAACCAACCACATCCCGCAACAGCTGCTGCAACCAGCCCTAACACCCCATAATAAGGAGAAGGATTGGATGCAACTGCCAACCCCCCTAAAGCAAAACATAACCCCAAAAATAATACAAATTCTAACATAAATTCTTACTCGGCCTTTCTCCGAGATCTACAGCCTGAAAAGCCGTCGTTATGAAGCTTTAACTATAAGAACGCCTAGCTCCACCCATCCATTCCCCCCCCCCTTTCCCCCCCACGAGCATGGTTTTATTCATGCTTACTAGGGTATGCATAATATGCATCACACTATTTGCCACATCAAACAGTCTATGAAATGTAGGATACTCCACATCATACGCTATGGCACTCCACAAAAAGCCCAAACATTATCTCCAAAACAGATGTTATACGGACAATTACACCACCAGATACATTCTTGCTTCAGGTACCATACAGCCCAAGTGTTCCTACCAAAGGCCGAGCCGCAAGCGTCACCCACAGACCCAGGAACTTACCACTATACCCAACATCCACTCTCGTAAACGAGGAATACACCAGTACACCTTTGAATTCTCCTAGTCTACCGAGTTCGCCCACCTCCTAGGTAATATTCTAATCCAACAGCCTTCAAGCACTCCCAAGCCAGAGGACCAGGTTATCTATTAACTGCGCTTCTCACGAGAACCGAGCTACTCAACGTTATAGGTGATTTAGGTTATTGGCTTCAGGCGCATACTTTCCCCCTAACCGCCGAGCTCAACTTGCTCTTTTGCGCTATTGGTTGTAACTTCAGGACCATGAACTCCTCCAAACCCCCTCACTTGCTCTTCACAGATACAAGTGGTCGGTTGGATTCTCCTCCCTAATCTCACCGGGTTGTAGGCATACCGACCTTCTACACTTGGTTTTTTTTAATATCCTTTCAATAAGCCCTTCAAGTGCGTAGCAGGAGTTATCTTCCTCTTGACATGTCCATCACATGACCGTCGAACATATGAATCCCCTAACACTTGGAATGTCATGGTTTGATGGATAAGGTCGTCGCAAACTTGACACTGATGCACTTTGACCCCATTCATGGAGGGCGCGCTAATCACCTCTAAGTAAGCAGATAGTGTAATGGTTGCCGGACATATTTATTATTTTTCCATTTTCTAGGAACTTGCGTTTAAAACCCATTTTTAAACGTTTGTTTTTTTTATCTTGAAATTTTTATCGTTTTTAACCAAAAAATTAAACCATATTTCCCTAGATTTATCAAAACATTTATCATTCATTCATCTTAAACCAACCTTCCTCTCTATTTTCTAGTATTACAAACCAAACAATCAACCATTATCATTTCATTAAACAACTCAAAATAATTGTAGAAATAACCCTAAAACTAATCACCACCCACCAGACACCCAACCCACACAACCAAATTCACCCCATATCCCCCTGCCTCCTTCCACTTTCTAAAAACCAAACAAAAATACAAATCATAAACACAAATTATTAACCAACAATGCATCACAAACCAAC